CGGGGGGGATCACGGGGGAACCCCCGGGTGAGGTGCAGGGGGCAGGGCACACGACGAAGCCCCGCCCCCTGCATCCGGCCGCCCCGCTTCCGGCCCTCATTCAGCCAGGAGGAGGCAGGAGAAGAGGGAGGGTAAGTTGCTTCCTCCCCGCCTCTCCCCACCCCTGCCTGCCTGGGGCCAGGGAGGGCCTTGGCGGGGCTTCCTCACACTCCCGCCGGCCTTGCAGGTCCACTGCCGGGCCTTGTGATGTCAGGGGGTGCGGCATATACTAATGAGATATGCTAATGAGTTCCCCTAGCTCTTTTTCTACGAAATGACCCCTGCCCCTCAGCATGGTACAATGCCATAGAGTCCCCCCTTCAAAGCAGCCGTTTTCTCCAGGGAAACTGACCTATGTCAGCTGGGGATCAGTTGTAAAAGCGGAAGATGCCCAGGCCCCACCTGGAGGCTGGCAACCCTAGGCCACACACCCCTAATGTAGCCAATCCTAATGAGTTTCTGCTGTTGGGAGTGGCCTATTATGCTAATGAGTTCCTGCTGGGCATGGCCAACTTGGAAGCCAGACGGAACTCCGTTCCTGTGCGTTCCTGCCCCAAAATAGCCCTGCTTACTATGCTTATGGCAAGCAAAGCACTCAGGGGAGTTCTCCCATGGAATAGCCGAATGCACTGTTGTCAGGCTGGAGCGAGGAGGGGGCAGGGGATGAAACTGACCCCCTTTCCTCAGTGGAGTGGGCTTACAGGAGAGGAATGAAGAATGGTTTCAGTTCTTCTGTCCCGTTCTCCCCCACCCCCGTCCTCATGGCTGTTCCTCCATGCAGTTCCATGACCCTGTGGATGAGCTTTCCAGCAGTCAGAAGCCGCTGCCAGGGCAGGAAGGAATGTTGGGAAATGAGGTGTTCCATGCACGGAGCGAAAGGGTATTGGCCAATATGTGGTAGAGTGGCACTCAGCACAACGGGACGGTTGTGTTACTGGGCAAAGCAGACACCAGGCTTGTTGAGGAGCACTTTTTGTGCTCTTGAGAGTCATTCCCCCCCCCAAAGGCAGTATTAGCAAGCCCTGAGTCATTTCCCACCCCAAATGATGCTTAGATCAAGGTTGTGACTACTCTCATAGATGTTTGTTGACCTGGCCCATGTTGTAAGACATAACAAGAGATTTGGCACTTGGGGGAGGTATCTGTTTTGCCGCCGTTTTTTTTTCTTGGTCAAAGTGTGGAACACAGATTCGCAGTGTCCTTGACAGCCATCTCTACCCTTGCAGTGGGAACTACTGTGAGCGTGGGAACCATTGCAAAGGGGATTAGATAGATTCATGGAAGATGTCTATCAGGGGCTCCTAGCTATGGTGAATGAGGAGAGCCTCCACATTCAGAGGCAGTACTCGTCTGAATCCCAGAGCCAGGAGGCAACATCAGGGGAAGGCCTCGGCTTCTGTGCCCTGTTGTTGGCTGTCCAGGGGAACTGGTTGGCCACTATGTGAGACAGGATCCTGGACTAGATGGTCCATTGGTCTGATCCAGCAGGGCTCTTCTTATGGTCTTATGAAGGCCTCAGCCTCTGTTCCCTGTTGTTGGCCCTCCAGAGGAACTGGTTGGCCACTGTGTGAGACAGGATGCTGGACTAGATGGCCCATTGGTCTGATCCAGCAGGGCTCTTCTTATGTTCTTATGAAGGCCTCAGCCTCCATGCCCTGTTGTTGGCCCTCCAGAGGAACTGGTTGGCCACTGTGTGAGACAGGATGCTGGACTAGATGGCCCATTGGTCTGATCCAGCAGGGCTCTTCTTATGTTCTTATGAAGGCCTCGGCTTCTATGCCCTGTTGTTGGCCATCCAGAGGACCTGGTTGGCCACTGTGTGAGACAGGATGCTGGACTAGTGGGACCACTGGTCTGATCCAGCAGGGCACTTCTTATGCTTTTATGTTCTTATTGTATGCAGAAGGGCACAAGTTCAATTACCAGCATCTCCAGTTAAAAGGATTTCAAGCAACTGAATTGGGTAATACCTGGGTAACACCAGAAACCTCAGGAAGCCACTACCAGTTAGAGTACTAGGCAAGATGGACCAGTGGTCTGACTTGATGCAGGACATCTGTTCAACATGTAAAAAACATACTCCACGAGAAAAGAAAGGTCCTTAAAAACAATCCTATCCATTTCTGCAGAGATAACAACACCTCTGATAAATGGACTGAGATAGAAACTCATCACAATTCTTTGAAGTACCTTTAAACTAGATTTTTGTTAAGAGTGTAAACCTATTAACTGAGGGAATGGGGTGAGCAGGGAGACGTCTTCCACTGTCAGTTAAAGTTGCTCTCCAGATTATCTTTCAAAACGAAAATCCCGAAAAGCCAAGGAAAGCCAGCCAAGCCTGCATAGAATGCTTTCATGAAGATGATTGCTATACATTCCTGGAATCACTTGTGGTTTCCGCATCATGCTTTTGGCAAGAGAGCTACGAGCGTAACCTTAAGTTTGCATGATGATGAACACCCAGCTAGGGTTAAATAATAAAAAAATAAAGAAAAGGGAAACTGTTATGTAAGACAACACTCAGGAAGTGCTCCAGGGATGCCTGAGTACTGACATGAACATGACAGAGGAGATCTACGACAGCCACAGTTACTGTCTTCACACTGTATTTTTGTCACGGTGAAACTACGTAGGCTATTCCCTTAAATTAAATGAACTTGCTGTTATAGTTTAGTACCCGTTAGCCGAATTTTCGGATGATGAAACGTCTCTGAGACTTTCGATTGCTTATATATGCTTGTGTATGCTACACGTGTGCTTAACCCCTATCCGCAGAGCATAAAACGGTCTTATTTCTATCTATTGAGTTATCTTTCTTTTTAAAAAGTTCTCTGGTCTCACAGCTGAGAAATAGGTCCCTAAGGCTGCTTACAGAAAAGGGTAAAGGGCACTTTGCGAACAGGGTGCTGCCAGGGTCTACTCCTATTTCCAGGCTGGACTCTCTGCCAGAGAACGTGTCTGCATTACTCCTCTGATACATTATTTATTTAGTACACTTTTATCCTGCCCTCCTTCCAAGGAGCTCAGGGCAGTATGTATCATTCTCCCTTTGTCCATTTATTTTCACAGCAACCGTGAGGTGGGTTAGTCTGCGAGAGAGTGACTGGCCCAAGGGCACCCAGCGAGTGGCAGAGTGGGGATTCCAACCAAGGTCACCTAGATCATAGTCCAGCACTGACCACTACTCCACGCTGGCTCTCCTGTTTTCCCCTTCTGATTGTTTTTTTTTTTAACGTCTGGAGAACTGCATGTGGCCAGTGTTGCTTTCTGTCCATTCATAGTTCCACATTCTGGATTCCCTGCCCTTAAAAGCGGCTGAGATTGAGGGGGTACCAAGATAGGTGACTTCATACTCCATAGATATTTGCCAGCGGATGAGCACAAAATCACCCCTTTCCATTATCTAGTGTAGTCTACCCATCCATGGTAGGTGGTGCAATGTGTAGTTTTATGTCTACGGGTATCGTTAGCCCCAAGCAAATGAAACACGTGAGAATGTAAATTGAATGCCCATCCAAGTTATGACAACCACGTTCCAGTTAGTTTTCTGGGACACTCTGAACAATGCTCGTCCTGTCTTTGGCAACTTTAGAAGAGGCTCTGCAGTTACTTGGTTTTCACCAATAGGGCTGGATCCACTCTAATTTAGCAGTTTTCACCAATTCCCCTGTTCCTGCTCCAGAGCCCTTCATGTTGTCCCCCTTTTCCACTGGGAGCACCATTTAGTGAAGAATCGATGGACTACAACAGGAAGTTGCACTCTGCTGATGGGACATTTGGTCTGGATCTAACCCACATACCTTGCTGTTCAAACTTGGTGTGTGAATAAAACAATTGATTTACCTTTTAAAGAACACATTACACATATTCTACTTTTCCTTCATAAAATTCATGCAGTTTCCAAGGAGCCGATCTTACCCAGATATTAATGAGATGCCTTGCTTTCAGCCGCATATTTATTAATTTTTTACTCTGTAGCATTTGCTTAAAAGTCTCCTAAGGCAATTTCCATAATTAACTGTGTCTGGTTTACACATATAGTCATCACACATCAAGCATGTGTCTGAATGGCCTTAACTTTCCGATCGTTTGGGGCCTGCTCTAGTCAGATGGCCAAAATAAGGTGGTACCGTGTTTCCCTGAAAGTAAGACATCCCCCGAAAATAAGACCTCCCCGATAATAAGGGCCCCCAAAGCTACCGTAACTCTGGACTCTGGGCTATAGCAGTGGGCGCCGTCACGCAGCTCACTGTTGGCCGTTGCGCAGCCGGAGCAGACAGGAAGTGCGAGGTCTCTTTTAATCAGAGAGCCCGCGCTGCCGCCAGGACAAGCTGCCGCCTGCTGCTCGCTCTGCCCTGACGGA